TCCTTGAAGTTTTCTAACCAGCGCAGCGCCTGATGGTCTGTGCGTATTATAATGATAATAAGGTTTATTTGTAAAGCACATCTTCGGCGCCGGTTTACCGGCGAGATAGTGATGAAACTTCTTAACGAAAGTCACGACGGCAAGAAGTTCTTTCCGAAAGAGAAACGAATCGAAGGTCGATACTAGCTAAAAAATTTGAGGCAGACGGAGCCAGTTAATGAGGATTGGACAACATGCAGCCGTGAAAACAGAAGCCAACCCGCCCAAAGTCGAAGTTGGCCTTTGTCTTTATTTGTTATTACTTTCAAACAGGCGTACAGGTAAATTCAGGTGAATGAAAACATGTGGAAAATTATGCGGAAAGCTACAAAGTTTATATTTATAGCAAGCTGCATTCGTCTGTCTGGCCTTGTTTTTCTACACAAATTGTATCTACTCTTAAAGCGAGAATGTCGTCCTTAAAGGTAGGCGGGCTGCGGGTTTTCGCCGTGGCTGATTTTTTATTCGTTTAAGAGTAATAACAAAGATTTGCTTAGTTTTCTTGCGTCACTACTGTGTGCATTTATGTATATTGCCGTTCCACTTTCCTAGTTTGTTTCCTAAGACATTGTCGCACGATTAAGGATATTTTCGAAGTCCGATAAAGTCATTGAAATAAATTTCCTGGCATATATGATTAGTTTTAATACGATTGTGGGCCCCAGCATAAATTTCGCTAAATGCAGAACCTTTATTACGTCTGCGGTCGCGTCAATAATTTGCATGCGCTGTGTAGGATGCAAGCTAGCTACGGAGATATTCCAACACCCCAACATAGTACCTGGCGTGCTCAGTAGGCTACAGAGTTCCATGGACGTTGTAGCGGGCACGGGATGTCGGGGTTGGCACAAACCTAAAGGAGTAATTCACGCATATGATTCTCCAGATGTAACGCCGAACAGGGTTGTCAATCACCACAACACGCAATTGTATAAGGAGATAGTAAGAAATAAGATCTGTTGATATGAAATGGATGGTAAACAATAAAGCGAGTGAGGAGACGACACGGGAGTTACCAAT